TATCATCAAAATTTAATTTTTATTAAGTTTAAGCTGACAATTTTATCAGGTCTTCCTTTAATTTTGTTAGTAGCAAAGAATTGGAAATCACCTAACCTGCAAAATAATTTGTAATCCAGTCATTAACAGCCATTTACTCTCTTTAACCCCAGCACCAGCATTTTGAAATATGACTAGTTTAATGCTCTAAATGTATAAAAGGGAAGTGTAAAAACCTCTAGGACATTAAACTAAGCCCAAGTAAGATTCCAGATGGTTGAAACGTATTCCATTCTTTTAACAAGGCGGTGAAGGGTGATTGGAAAAAGGGAGATGGGCAAAGAGGCCAAGGGACATCCTCAGGCAGATTCATTTTAGTAAAGAGTATTTGTGAAAATTGAGAATCTCAGAAAAGCTTTTCCACAAACTACTCTTGTTTCTACATTTCTCAAAGAGTCTTGGGGAAAGTTCATGTACCTCAGTTTGAAGACCATTGTGCAATGTACCTGAACACATTGAGATAATAAATTACTTTCAAAAAGAACTCAATGACATTACAGAGAATTAAAGAATCCCAACATTGATCTCAATCTTCTCAACTCCCTGGATTCAATCTAAATGTAGGTATAGCCTGACTTAAGAGAGCTATAGCAAGGGTTAAGGAGAAGGAGCCAATAAAATGTTCATAACAAACAGCACAGCAAGATGTGGGAGATCTTTAAGAGCCAACAAGACTTGCTGTTAGGATTTTGCCAGTCCTTCTCTTCTTATTTTAGTTAATGAAATTATTATAATTCCCCCAAGGGTTAAACTGGCTCTGGGTCAGACAGGACCAGAAGGTTCTCATGTTTTCTCCTTGAGGAATTCTCTAATTTTGTTGCCACAACCAAAGCTGAGGATAGAAAAGCATCTCCTTCTTTGTTTTGTTTTGTCTAATATAAAAATAATTGCCGGGCGCAATGGCTCACGCCTGTAATCCCAGCACTTTGGGAGGCCGAGGCGGGTGGATCACGAGGTCAAGAGATCGAGACCATCCTGGTCAACATGGTGAAACCCCATCTCTACTAAAAATACAAAACATTAGCTGGGCATGGTGGCGCGTACCTGTAATCCTAGCTACTCAGGAGGTTGAGGCAGGAGAATTGCCTGAACCCAGGAGGCGGAGGTTGCGGTGAGCCGAGATCGCGCCATTGCACTCCAGCCTGGGTAACAAGAGTGAAACTCCGTCCCAAAAAATAAATAAATAAATAAAAATAATTGCCTCTACTCTTGGAGACCTGGCTTAATTACACTAATCTGATTTTCCACTGGCAAAACTGGCAAAAATACTAAATGGTATTGCTCCAAGTTCTCTAATTATAGAGCAATCACATGTTTTCTCAACAGATACTAAAAAGTCAAATGCTATAATGTTGGATGAGGTCATTGTGACTAGCTTATTATAAGATCTATTTTAAGAGACCACATGAATTTCAGTGACTATTATGCAGTGACTGGAAGCAACAGATAGAAAGTTTACTGCAGAAAAAAATTATGAATTGTTACTATAATTTATCTAAACAGTGATGAGTTTCCACAAGTTATTTCATAAGAACTATGTTACTTTACCATAACCTTTGTTCTTCCACCCCCACACTCTAAAATATCAGACCCCAGTCTGGTTTCCCCTCTCTTAACCACTCCCTTCCTTTTCTTTACCACTAAGCTTGAACACTTTAATCAGTCTTTTGATGGATACTCTTACCAGCACTCTCAGTGCTCCCTTGAACTTCTGCTTATCTGTTCTGCCAAGTCCTAGCTCAGAGTCAAACAACCATCTGGTTCTCTCTACTATTGCTTCTAGTTTGCCAAGTACTGCTGGAGAAAACTGTGTAACTGCTGATTTATGCCACGCCAAATCTGCAATTTCCGAATTCACTTTGACCCTTTGCACTACTTGGCAATCCTTTTACTCTTGGCTGGTTGACTTCCTTTTCCAGTGCTCAGGTGCTATTCCAAATCTTGTGTCATCACTCTTCTGAGGTTTCCTGCCACACCTCCTCAATCAACAGATGACCTAACCTTCTACATCAGGAAAAATCTGTGTTCAGTTTTCCTTCCCTCCACTTCTAATGGTCATCTACACCTTAATCTGCTCTTCCCCCGTTCCAGGGGACAGTTATTCCCTCTTAATACTGTTCATTGGTTTATAAGCTCTTTACTACAAACTCTATTACATTATTACAAGGCAAATTTTTTTTTGGAATTAATATTGCAAGTTAATAAATGAGCATTGGAATGTCAGGAAATAAAAGGTGCTGATTGGCTACAGAAAAGAGCATATCAAAATAGCAAGTGTTGGCCAAGCGTGGTAGCTCATGCCTGTAGTCCCAGCACTTTGGGAGGCCAAGGCAGGCGGATCATGAAATCAGGAGATTGAGACAATCCTGGCTAACAAGGTGTAATCCCATCTCTACCAAAAATACAAAAAATTAGCCAGGCGTGGTAGCACACAGCCGTAGTCCCAGCTGCTTGGGAGGCTGAGGGAAGAGAATCACTTGAGGCTGGGCATGGTGGCTCACCCCTGTAATCCAAGCACTTTGGAGGCCAAGGTGGGCAGATCACCTGAGGTCACTTGAACCTGGGAGGCAGAGGTTGCAATGAGCCGAGATTGCACCATTGCACTCCAGCCTGGGCAACAAGAACAAAATCCCAACTCAAAATAAAATAAAATAAAATAAAAAATATATATCAAGTGTTCTTCTTCTTTGAATCATTCATAAGCAAAAACAGAAATGAAAGTAGGTTTGGATGTCACCTGCCCCTTAAATGTTTTAAAATTCTATCAGACACATAGTTCTGCCAACCAAATGTCACAATATGAAATTTAGAGAGGCAATACTTTAGCAATCAATGCCATTTTTTCCTCTACTATTTGCTACCACCTGTCACATATGCAGTCAAAGATGCTACTAATAATTCATCCAACCAGTTCCTTTTTTTTTTTTTTTTTTAACTGTGAGGAGTTTTCTCACCCTCATTCAATCCAAACTTTTCATGGAAATTCCTAGGGCAAACAATGTGAATTACGTATTATTTGATATGGCTATCCTAATTTAACATCATATTACACAAGGTATCACATAAAACTTACAAATGACCTATTATGTTGTAGAAAAAGTATTCGTAGGCCAGGCAGGGTGGCTCTTGCCTATAATCCCAGCATTTTGGGAGGCCAAGGCAGGTGGATTATTTGAGGCCGGGAGTTCGAAACAAGCCTGGCTAACATGGTGAAACCCCATTTCTATTAAAAATACAAAATTTAGCTGGGCGTCATGGTGCATACCTGTAATCCCAGCTATTTGGGAGGCTGAGACACAAGAATCACTTAAACTTGGGTGGTGGAGGTTGCAGTGAGCCGAGATCGGACCATTGCACTCCAGCCTGGGCAACAGAGCATTACTCTGCCTCAAAATAGAGACTTCTAAAGAAGTTTTGATGTAGATGATACTTAGGAGAACTATGTATCCTATCTAACTAGAAGAAGATCTTTGTTTTGTGGGCCCCTAAAACATGTATAATTTGGAGAGATCTCTTTCCAAAAAGAATACAAAATTATGAATACAAAATGAGGTTCAGGGCCTTTGGAACAAGTCTGTGAAAACGAAGGTCTCTAAAGTTTAAGTTTCATTAGCCTCATATAAATCAGCCTTTTGTATCTGACCACTTAATTGAGGCGTTAAGCAATCCTAAAACCCACACCTAATAAGCACGAACTTATTAAAACGGGAACACCTAACATGAACAAAGCTCTTTACATAATATTACATTTCAGGCTCACAACGAACTTATCAGGTCAATATTACCCTTCTCACTTCTACAAAAGCAGAAACTGAGACTCAGAAAATTTAGTAACTTGCTCACAAGCAGCTCACTACGCACATTGAAGCTGAGATACAAACCAAAGTCTGACAAACTAAATCTTGTGTTATTTCCATTATAATACTCCGCCTTTAATGTTTCCCACAAGATAAAGGGTTTAAGTTACTTTGGGGAATACCCCTAGAAAATGTTCAGTTAATACTTGACATTTACACGACTTAACTCATTTTGAGATCTTTACTAAAAATACTGCTCCAAAACTGTATTTAAAGGGCATGAAAAAACAAATGTATCACTGGGTTATCTTCTAATAAGTGACATAGATGAAGACAGGAGATCCTGAGGTCCAAAAGAAATGTGATTCTAATAAAGAAGAAAATAGAAGCAGAACCAGAAAATCCTGAAGGAAGGCTAGAATTATTATACAATCTTTCAGGAAAGAGTATGGTTATGGAAGGACATACTGATGATATGATCTTTGACAAATTATATCCTCTTGCTACATGTCCAATATTCTTTTACCTTGCCATTATGATAATATCAAGTTTTAAAGACTGAAAAATAATGACAGTGGCTCATATATTATTCTATTATATTCATATCCTGGTATTAGCCAGTTTGACCTCTTTTTTTAAAAAAAAAAAAAAAGTCTCTTAGAAGTAGCCTCTCTTCCTCCTAAGGCCCCCAAAAGGTAGATGCTGTGTCTTCATCTGTTCTTCACTTGCAGAATCAGTCACCGTGCTCTACAGATAGTGGCATTTCACAGAGGTTTGTTTCCATGAAAGATGGTGTTGATCTCATTTTTGACAGTCCAACATTTTCTAACACAAAAGGAATTTCATAATGTAGTTATGATGTGATTCTATCCTATTCATTCAAAGACTTTAGAATAAAACTTTGTCATTTGGCTAGATGTAAGGCAAGAACTGATCAGATGTAGTTAGTATTTCCAGTCAACAAACTGCCATTAATGTTGAAATTACTTAAAAGACCTGTTGATTATGTGGTAGTAGGGCCATTGTGACCTCATTGTAGCTAAGATCAGTCCACTGCAGCAGGGGTTTCAAGAACAACAGCACAAAAATGATGACTTAACTGGAGGGGAAAAAAGGCACATATTTTCAGGAAGGCCTCTTTATTCTTAGAAGTTACCCTTCAAGATGACAAGTGGTGCAAACTCTTCAGGATCTTACCTGCCCTCAAAAATAAGGTGAGTCTTTGATGGAAGATGCTAAATGGTAACTATCTAAGAGGGAAAAGAGGGTCTCTCTATCTCTTAACTCAGGCTAAAGGCAGATATTATTATGTCTCTTCCCACAGAAGTTCTAAAACAGATGACAATTATTTGAAGGAACTGAATGAGGACTTGAAGCTAAGGAAACAGGAACTGCTAGAGATGCTCAAACCTCTAGAAGATAAAAACAACCTCTTATTCCAAAAGTTAATGTCTAACTTGGAGGAAAAACAAAGGAGGTACAAGCTCTTACTCTGGGTTCCTAAAAGTAAAAATGCTGGAGAACTTAATCTCCCTAGGATTGTCAATAATTATTTATAATTTTTTTTTGTTAATTAATAAAAGGTTTGACATTTGGCTGTAGAAGGCCAACAATCTGTAGCTACCAAGTCAGGATGACAACAAATCCTTTATTTTCTTTTAGTAAATTAAATATGACTCACCCCTCATTTCATGGGCTACAGTTATAGCTCTTCCTTGCCAGGCTGTCCACCCAAGAAATAGTGAAACATCTTTAATAGCATTAGTTTACCATGGTCCCACAGATGCTTTCTTGTGCATGTTTGTGGATCATTTTAGAATAAATGACCCCGCTCTTTCTATGTCAAGCAGTGGAATGGCAGTATTTTCTAAGCCTAGGAGCCCTCTGAATTAGGGGCATCTCTAAATATACCAGGTAGCCTGAAGTCTTAACTCCTTACCAGAGCACTCACTGTACCTGGAACCCACAAACTCTGTTTCCTTTCTAGTCTCAGAACATCTCACCTCAGTGAGTCTACCTTTATTCTGTACCCTTATCATAAGCATCTCAAAGGACTCATATTTTTGAAGAACAAAACCCAGGCAGAAAGTCATGGTCAAGCACCAACTGCTTACAACTCAGCAACGTAGACTTCTCTCGGGCCAAGAAAGCACAAAGGCTTAGAATTGTGTTCTCTGCTTAGAACTGGTGAGAAAAAAGCACAAGAACACAAACATAAAATAATTTATGCCTTTAAGAAATATCCTCTCTCACAAAGACTTGATTTTGATTCAGATTTTGTTAGAACTTCTTAATTGGCATGCATTCTCTGGGGCTATGAAAGGATATCAGTGACTTCCTCAATAGACTCAAATGTCCTTACATGAAGAAGCAAATAGGTGGGAGAAAGTGGAGAGAGATGGGTTAGGAAATAACTCTGGGATTTATCCTAGAAGATAGCAGGTTCTTCAACCTCTTCTTATAAAGGAGGCAGAACTCCTCCTTCTTCTTCCAAGTCACATATGGCAGAATTCTTCTGAGGGGGTGGAAAGGACTTTCCCTGACTGTTGGAGACCTAAGCATTAAAGAGCACAGAATTCATTCTAGAACACATAGATAGGCAAATGTCAGTTAGAAATGTAAACATCCTATTATAGAGATCTTCTATGACCAGAAGGGCTTCCATAACTCCTGAGATTTCAGTCCCCAACTAACTTTCATGGTAGAGTACTTTCTGACTGGTTGCAGAATATCAGTATTACCCTTAAGGAGGTATATATGTTTTATGATTCCTCTTTTTCTTCTAGTCTTGAGATCATGAGGCAAATTATGGCAGGGAAGAAGGGTGAGGAATCCTCAGTCATGGAGCTCCTTAAGGAGGCAGAGGAAATGAAACAGAACCTGGTAAGAAGCTGGAGGTACTCCAGGAACAGCCTCCTGAATAGGGCTCAAATCCACTGCAGTGTCAGATGTGGAGGGAAAGACAGGATACTCATTTCTAGCATCTGATGCTCCAACACTCATATCAACTTGATCTACGAAGTCCAGGGTGACCCAAAGGGAGTCAGATGGAATGTTGGGAAGAATAGGACTAGCTAGCAAAAATTATATTCTTTGACTTTTTAAAAGCTTTTTATCTAGGGAGTAAATGACTATAACCATATTAACCTTAACGTTTCAGAAAGAATAGTAAAATATCTACTATAAAGAATAGAAAATACTTATCAAAATAAATAAAAGAAAATAAATAGTTTGCTCTGTAGAATTCTTGTAAGATTTTATTTTAATCAGCAATATAAAGGATCTTAAAAATTAAAAATTAGTGGTCTAAGCTCCCAAGAAATGGCCATATGATAAGAATATCTTAAGTGTTGGGAACTCATTTCCATAGATACTGTCTCACAATTATTATAATTAAAGTTATTACTTAAAATAACTTGGCTTATTTTAAACATCATCATCATCATCAAACATCTCTTATGCTCCTGGATTTGGGGCTAGGCCCATTCATTGCCTTCCTCTGTGGTTTACTATGTTCCTGGATCCTTTTCCTACTATTACTTAGTAACTTCTTCCAAACTCACTTCAATGGCTGGACAAATATATTCTTTTGTTTGTTTGGTTCTTCCCCCTCCAACAGGAAAGGAAAAACAAGATGCTTCAGAAGGAAATGGAGATGCTATGGAACAAGGTGTGCCTCTAAGGATCTATTGAAAGTATTGTCCTACAGATCATAGTGCAAAAAACCTCCCTTTTCTCTAGCCCCCATCCTCGTTTTTTCATGTCCTTGTTTCCACCCATGCCTTATGCCAATCCATTCTCTACACAGCAGCCAAAATGATCTTTTTAAAACAATCAAAGCATGTCACTCTTCTTATGAAAAACCTTTACAGCCACTCATTGAGGCATAATCTAGCTTTTGCCCACTCTGCAGTTTCCTCTCATACATGTCCTTCCCTTGCTTTCTATGCAATCATGCCACTGGCCTCTTGTGGTTTCTCAGACACACCAAGCCTTTTCCTATCTCAAGCACTTTGCTCTTGCCTTCTCCACTACCTGTAATGCTGTTTTATCATGGTTGGTTCATTCTCATCCTTCAGGTCTCAGCTTAAATGTCATCTCCTTAGAGAGACCATCCTTGTTTGCTCCATCTAAAGCAGGGCATCCTCTTCCTCCTTTCTATTATATAACTATGTTCATGTGTTCAATAGCACTGTTTATAATATAAAATTGTTATTGTATAATTATTACTTTTTCACTTGTTTCTTGTTTCCTTGCCTCCTTCAGTATCTTCCTAAGCTCCTTCAGTATCTTGATTGCTTTGTCCGAATTTGTAGCTCCTAGAACAATTCTTGGAACATAGTAGAGATCAATAAATGTAAGTTGAAGAAACAAATGAATACCTAATTCTAATTAACCTATAATTTTACAACAATCACTGCATTGTTTAAGATAACAATATCAGGGCCTTTTGCTGGGAATCCAGAGCCAGGAGTCAGGGGAAGAGGACAGGGAATTCCTTTGTCCCTTGTCCAAGACTAATCCCTTGGAACCCAAGTGCTTCTTCACAGACTATGCAACTAGAAGAGTAGATTGTATCCTGTGACATAAACAGTTACACAGTGTGATCTCTGTCTGCTTTTTTTTTTTCTCATCTCACCTTTCCACAAATAATCAGAATACCTTCAAGCCCTGCATCTTGTATTGAGATCTGCTCCAGGTTCTCATTGGCAGTTACAAATTAGTTCTATGAATTGTCAGAAGTTTTAGTTCCTGGGTTCTTGAGTCCTTGTAATAGGAAATGTGCCAGAACAATTCCTCTATCTAAATCCAGCTTCTACAGAGCTCTCAAAAGACTTTTTCAAAATAAAGGACATCCATACGCTTAACTTGTGATCAACTTTCCCTACTCATATTTTAGTGAGGAGAAATGGAAAAGAGTAGCATGCCTAATGGTCAAAAACACAGGCTTCAGAATCAGAAAGATCTGGTTCAAATTCCAACTCTGTACTTTCCTAGCTGTGTGACCCTAAACAAATAACCTCTCCAAGTCTCAATTTTCTCATCTATGGAAATAAAAATAGTCCTCAAAGAACTGTGAGGATTAAATGAGAATGTCTGTAATATAGCACAGTAAGGAAAGTAAGTAGAATAATACAGTAAGTAGCTTAGAGTAGTGACTGGCTAAGGGTCCAGCTAATCATTTTCATTCCTGTAAGGTACACTCAAGTAACCGAATGAAAGGAAGGGCTCACAACATTCTGAACTCCCTTTGGTAGTACATGTTTCATGTCAGGTCCTGAGAACCTGCTGACTGGCAGGAACCAAAGCCTTGACCCATATTGGTTTTCCACTTCTTTCTTTAATTTCCATTAATTTAAAGCTTTGCAAAAATGTCTTTCCACAGACATTTGAGGCAGAAGAACTCAGTGATCAACAAAGAGCACCAGAGATAAAAAACAAGGCAGACTTGCAGGATGTTAATGCAAGTGGAATGCAGGTACTTAGAATTTCAAGACTGTTGATGTCACACAGCTGGAAACAGTCTGTTGACAATCAGGGCTAATTTGGGTAGACAGATAGGTAGGATCTGGGTTTTTAGAGTATTAGATTTATGGCCTACTGAGACACTGCATTTCTTTCCTGGGACCTCCTATTCCTTTAGCTCTCTTTTTTCATCCCGGGCTCCCAAATCCCCCTTGTCACTTAGGAAGACCAAGAGTGAACTAGAGAAATCACTTGCAGAGAAAGTGAAGGAGATAAGGAAAGCAGTACAGCCATTCTGAATGGTAGTGGCTTTTAGAGCTAATAAATTAGAAATCTTTAATGTTGCACTAATTTGCCTAAGCTTTGGTGTGTTCTTGAACCAATGCAAATTTTTATAGATTTGGCTCCCTTGTGTTACTATATTTGAGTCAGAGTAATATCACAAGTTTCTGGGAAATCATATTAGGAAAAAGTCAGAAAAGCTATACCAACAATTATAACTCTGCAACAGCTACATGATGTCAGAACTCCTGTTAATTTGTCTTTGAAAATGTATTCAGTGGTATTATGCTTGTATGTCATCTTCCCATAACCAACTCACCAACATAAAATAACCCTATTCATTTAGCTTTTAGAGGGTGGTTTGCACAGGTGAGGCCAATTAAGAGAATTGTGCAGTTAAAACCAATTTAATTATAAATCTGTGCCACCCTAATTTTGCTATAAGGCTTTTGCAGTATATTGAGATAACTGATTTCTGATCTTAATTTACTTTGTCAACCAGAGGCTCTTTCTTCCACCAGGAAAAGCAACAGAGGAAAATGGAATGGGTCAAGTATCAGGAACAAAACAACATCCTTCAGGTACTCAGGTCTTCTAAGGCTCGATATAGGATGTAATTTTATTCATATAATGCAAAGGCTTTTAGCTGCATATTGTGAAGCCCAGTCCCCACAACCTAGATTACCAATAGTCCTGCTAAAATAAATGTAGAGAGATAGCTGAAGGGACCTATCTCTGGCTTCACCCTAGGCAACTTGGAATAAACAGTATTTCTTCCTATGCTCTTGATTTTATTCTATTCTAAATGGTGGGGGGAGGGAAGCACAAACACTTTCTACTCAACTTTTAAAGGCTGAGCATGATGGAATTACTTTTTAACTTCTGAATAAAGAGGATTCAGAAAAGCCAATACTAAATGTGTAGTTTTTGAAAATGTTCCCTTTCAGAATGATTTTCGTGGAAAAGTGATTGAGCTGAGAATTGAAGCCTTGAAGAAGTACCAGAAGGCCAATGACCTGAAATTATCACTGTATTTGCAGCAGAATTTTGAGCCAATGCAAGCATTTTTAAATCTCCCTGGGTCCCAAGGTAGGTAGAATATCCCAGGTACACAGTTTGAGGTTTGGTTTTGTTTTGTTTTTCATTGGAGATCCTTGTACTTGTAAAGTAATACAATGACTATAATAAATAAAAGTACAGTAATACATTTTTTCATTATCATTATTATTATGACTCAGAAGCTCCTGTACTAAGGCAAAGATTCTCTCTGGGAGAATAGTTTTCCTTTGTAAAGATAAAGTAACATATTATATACTTAGCATCTGTAGCTGACATATAATTAGCACAATAAAATATGTTTCCTTTCTACCCCATCCCCTTTTCTAGGAATTAGAATTATTTAATTTTATTAATCTTGCTGGAATAGACTCTGCTATTTCAAAGCAGAAGGCCAAGGAGACATCTGACAATGGTTGTGAATTTCATCAATCCAGTTGTCCCTCTGAGAGTTTTAGCGACTTCCTCCACAGAATTTATGGCAATATTAGAGAAAATGATATAGTTCATTAAAAAATAGAATACAGAGATGGCTCGGAGGACAGGGAAAATGGTTCTTAAATTTTCAAGTATCTATGAATATGAACTCCATTTTTATAAAGGGACAGGCAATGGGAAATCATGGCCAAGGAATGACAATGTTCTGTCAGCGTCAGTATGTATGTTTCTAATTTCTTAGTCTTATTTCATAAAGGGTTTGAACAGCTTATAAAAATCACACTCAACACACAGGGTTAAATAAATATATAAGTAAATCAAAGAAAAGGGAAAATAAGCTGAAGCCAGGTAAATACATAAGAATGCATAATGGGAGTACTGCACAGCTGGCAGAGGTAGGCTACAAATTTGACTCCGAATTTTCCAGTAAAAAGAAACATTGATTTATGAAATTCATGAAGAAACAAAGTTTTTCCTGGTATTGAAATCTGAGAGAAATTTTTCGTCCAGGTCCCTATGATGGGGACAGGACATTGTTTGTGTGATGATAGTAGCCAGTGTCTTCAACAATATTTCAAAATAAATTCAGAATCTAAATTTCCTAGGCTGTTTCTCCTCTGTTCTTTGGCATAATCTAATAAAAACATATTAATCTAATTTTTTTTTCAAGTGATGAATTGACTCAAGATGATTCAGGTACATAAAACTGTACTGGTCTGGTTTGATCCATAGGTAAATTTTAGAAAACTAGAAGACTATTGACTATCTTTCAGGCAGTATTACATGCATATTTTTCTATCAACTTATGTTCTAATAAGAATAGGACAAAACTGGAAAGAAACCTGGAATGCAACCACAAGCAGTATTAAATCATTAAAATACAAATTTAAAAGAGGATAGCCAGGCGCGGTGGCTCGCGCCTGTAATCCTACAACTTTGGGAGGCTGAGGTGGGTGGATCACCTGAGGTCAGGAGTTCAAGACCAGCCTGGCCATCATGGTGAAACCCTATCTTAAAAAAAAAAAAAAATTAAAAAAAAATTAAATAAAATAAAAGAGGAGAAGAAGGTTATAAGGAAGAGAGACAGGTCTCTGTTTTACTTCATCCAAAATTAGCTGAAGGTCATCTTGAGGGATCTATAGGATAAAGAGCCAAAAGATTTTTAGCTCCAGAATCAAATTAAGCCTAAATTAGCAAATAGTGAAGGGTTCCATTCAACTTGATTGCCTCAGGGGATACTTTTTCCCCTTGCATGTAAAACATTGAATCAACTTTAAATTGGAACAGCCACAGATCAACACCTTTTCTCTCCTTTCCTCTTATGCTTCTGGAGAATTAAATGATAGGGTACTATACTGCTCTGTTACCACAAAGTAATGTAGCCACAGGCAATGGATCAGTGTGTTATACTGCTTCTGCATTCATTTAACACTAATTATGGGTCAGTTTCATTTTCTAACACACGTATTCAAACTCTATAGGTTTGTTTGAGCTCAAGTGGATTTGAAATCTAATGGAGTCCAATATTTTGGTTATGTGGCCTATTTTTTCACTTCTAGTATTTGATTATTGAAAAGTAAACAAATATTCTCATAATGAACGATTTTAAAAGTAATTATGTAAAGAGGGTTATTATCAGCAGTAATAATTTCTTAATGGTAGATGTTGCAGTGTTTTCCAACTTTATGTACCATCTGGACTATTATCTATCTAATATTTGCTGTTAGGTTGACTTCTTTAGTTTCTTAAATGTGTTCCTTGAAAATAAAATTTGTATTACTATTTTAAATGAAGAATCGCTATAGTTTTCCATAATAGAAGGTAAACAATAATATGCACCAAAAAACAAGATTTTAATGTTCTAGAAAATTGTATAAGTCGGAGATCTATTTTATCTGTATTAGGAAGTGTGATTAGAAAGACACAGAGAATTTTAAAGAAAGCACCAAATTGCAACTTTCTCCTTGGTGCTATCAAATTTGAAATAATTGAAAATAATTTTCTCACTGTGACTTACACTATTTAATTCTGTATTCCAACACCCAAATTTATCCCAATTGCCAACTAAAATTATCTCACCATCAAATTTTGGAAAATTATAATTTAAGGGAAAAAGCATTGAATTTAGACTCAGATACATGAGTTCTAGGCCTTCCTCTGAGGCTCACCAGTTATATGACTTGGGAAAGTCATTTAATTTCAGTTTTTAAACATACAAACAACATTAACTCAGAGCATGTTGATAACGTAATACCTTGTGTAAACCTCACAATGACTCTATAAAAAGTATTACAGAACAAGAAACAAGCACAGAGAAGCCAGGCTTCTGGCTCCATATTCAATCTTTATTCTCTAGACTATGCTACCAAATGAATGTGTAAAAGTATGTGACTTTTCATGCCTCTTCTAGATCTAAAGGCTGTAATTTGAATCCAAATTTATTATCTGTTTAACACATAATCTTCCCAGTGAAAGGTTAATTTGTTCAGCAAGAGATTGGTAATTCTGCATCTAGCCCAGTAGGTGGCACCAACCACATCCAAGCTTCAAGTCCACAGAGTGGTAATTCAGGAACTGTGAAATGCTGTGGGAGAGATCGGCTTTCTATTATTCTTAGGGCAAAAAGTGCCACATTTATATACCAAATGAAAAAAGAAAAAAAATGTCTGGATGTTTTATGGCATGCTCTTTTGGCACCAAAGTGTATTACTGGCAGCCTTGATTGGACCATGTTAAACTCAGTGTTTCTGTTGCATAATTTTTACCTAGTATTCTACTCCCTGGACTACAGTTCTCTTCATTTCAAAAAACTGTCACTGCCCACTTCCTCCACAATCCTTGTAGAATAGTGTTCCCGTCTACCACAGATAAATCAGGCGATTGGGGTTCTAAAATAAAAAATGGGTTGGGCAATTGCACAAGATGGTGCTTATTTGAAGTTTGTATATTTAATAGTGTTACAGGGACAGTGTTCCTTTTTCTCTAGTTTCAAAAGAATTGAATTTCGCAAACCTGTCTTAGACAAAGGGTGGGGTATAATTTTGGACACACCTTCCAGTAAATCAAGGGTACAGGCTCTTCTGTTCTAACCATTTCCGAGTAGAGGAAGGGTTTACCTCGGTACTCAGCCAAGAATTTCTCCTCCTACTGTCCTTTGTGCTGGTTGGCTGAGTTGCAGTGGTATGATCTGTGTAGCTGGCAAAATACCATCTTTTGTTTGTTAATATTATTTTGTTACACTTCAACAAATCCCTACTTGTGAATTCCCTTGATGCACAGGATGTAGCATTACCATTGTCTATGTTATCTTTTTGGCATACTGCATCACTTAGTTTGTTTACACCTAGAGTGAAGTCTTTACTTTTGATCTTTCTGGAGACGAGTAACATTTGAAAGGATTTACTTTCCCACCAGTGTAAAATTATAACTTGACTCAGGGTGTATCGTAGGTCCTCCCTAACTTCTACAGAGTCCAGAGAGCAAGTTTGTGGACTTTGGCAGTCACCTATCTTAGAGAGCGCAGATACTAAGCAATCTCTAAATTCAACTGAATTTCCCATCATATCTGCTGGTGTTTAAAGAAGAGGTTTATCAAATACAAAAACTTAGCTGGGCATGGTGGCACGTGCCTGTAATCCCAGCTACTCAGGAGGCTGAGGCAGGAGAATTGCCTGAACCCAGGAGGCGGAGGTTGCGGTGAGCCAAGATCGCACCATTGCACTCCA